AACATTGCCAAGAGAGGTGTAACAGTTCCAAAGATTTCTGCACATGAAAGATGGATCAAAGTGTGCAGCAAATGCCAATGGAGGAGCTGCATTGCAAAGTGCAAAGCCAGCTGTGACACTGTAGACGTGTTTGTTTACTCACATTAAAGTGCAATAGCAGACGCTCCTTACTGAACATCCAAGTAGTTTGCATTGCCCATGGGAATAGCACAGGAATCTGATTTCTGATATATTTTTGTTTACAGAACAGCAGGTTTTATGTACGACATTTTTACCTTTACGTCCCAAAACACTTTTTTCCCCTTGTCATTGCTTGACAGTCAATATCTACAGATGATTAGCCTTTTTCTAGGTATTTTTCAAAAGCAAACCTTTTGTTAGAACACCAGCTTCAAATTATGAAATAATGTGTAACCACAATGTTGTTTTTTTGGACATCTAATCTATAAAGAATTAGATATTTCTACCAAGTCACCTTGGAAATTTGTTGGTATTAAGTTGGTATTAGATGCATCAGTGTGCTTAAAAAAAACTTGTTATGCAGAGCTTAGTTTGATGAGTTGGAAAATATAAGAAGTGTAGATTTACTACAGACTCCAAATGAAGTTCCCTTATGTTTACTGATACTGAAGGGAAACTCCAATGCAGCTATAACACGCTGAAAATCAATGGGAAAACCAAACAAAGGATTTCACACTCAAAAAAATAAAGTAAAAATCTACTAAAGACAATAAGTGATCATAGAAAACAAAATTTACCTGAGATTGACAAAAGTAAACATATAAAAAGACATGAGAATGTCTCTTTTTGTAGTATCTCTGGAGAATTCAAAAGCTTGCAGGTTTTGTTTCCTTTTGTTTGGTACAGTAAATGTATTATCCAACTCTGGATTTTATTTTGGGGTTCTTTTTAGACAAACATAGCCATTACTGCTATTTTGAGACAGAAAAAATGAAAATGTAATCATCACATTGAGAAAAACAAATTTTTTTTGCATGCCTTAGAGTCACTCCTGACAATTGCCTGGACATGCCCCCTGCAGATTTTTTGGCAAATTTCAGAAGTGGTTTGTAATTGTCTACTGACTGTGACCCAGCCGGTTTTGTGCCTAAGGTGTGTTAGAATTCACTAGGTTCTTAACCCAGTGTCTTATCCACTGCAACAAACTGATTCTTGTGAGAAAACGTACTTGTCTTTAATTGTACAACCATTTAAAAATACAGGGTCTTCAATGGTGACTGTAATTAGGGCTGGGAATTCATCGCTGACACAGTTGTGAAACAAAAAATAACAATTGTGCCTACTTATGATAGCAGTTACCCCAGTTCTGGTTGCAGTTATAAGTGAATCACATGCGGTTGTTAAACATATCAAATGACCTCTATTTGCAGTCCTCCTGGTCTTTGAACAGACAGTAGGGAGCTTCATTTTAGAAAATAGATGGTGCAAAGATAAAAATTAATTAGAAATGTATTTATATTTAATTCATATATACTGTCTGAATCTACAGTTCCCAAGCTGTGTCCTGCAATATCACAGAACACTATAGAATATTTTAAATTTTCAAGGGAAACATAACAGTACTCAACATCTGTCACACACCATATGAGTCAGTAGCCTAGGGGTGCTATGAAAAAATTACTGAGGCTCCAAGGGTGCTGGGAACTGGGAAAGCTTAGGAATCCCAGTTCCAGACACTTAATGGAGATCCTAGGAGCCCCACCCAAAGCTTTCAGATATCTTAGATATACTATTCTTCTCATTCCATTATATACTTGTGAACTCTGAAATCAGAGACTATCTACCTCAATCTTCAAATCTATTCTTAAAATACAGGAAAAAGCTGATTGCAAGTAGAGAAACCCCATAACAATGACTGTACTGTAAATATAATTAAAATGTGTTGTCCTCTCTGTTGTAATTTTAAGTATTATTAGGCAAACTAATTGCATCAGAAGCCAAAGTATTCAGTACTTCTGCATAAAATTGAGCCAAATATACTGTGAGAATGACAGGAATGGTGATACCTTGACCTGAGAAATGGTCATCTAGTGGAAACCTGCACTTCACAGAAAAAGATGAATCAAGATCTCCACAGTAATTCAGGTTAGGTCTGAATAAAATCCAGAAAGAACTTTAACCTTGGGAAAGCAAACTAAAAAAAAAGTAGCTTCCTTCAACTAAACTTCAACTCTTGATGACTTTCATGGACTGATTCATGCAGTTTTGTTCACAATACATAAATGGTTGGCCACTTAATTTTTCCAGGATTTTTCTTCAACAATATAGTCAAGCATGCACCACAGGATTTTCCAGATATTCCTGTGTCAGATCTGATCTTGATTAGTTTTCTGAGATCAGGCAGTATTGGTTAGATGCTAGCTAGGCCAAGCAATCTCACTAACATAACCATGACTGTAATTAACAGTTCTTTTTGAAATGCCACATATGTGCTAATGATGAACACCTTACAGCTAATGCATATAAAATGCTCCTGAGGTTGAATTTAGAAAGTAAATATTTTGTATGATTCAATGGCAAGAAATTTTGGCTATGTTGGACCAATGGGAAAATATGAGGAGCAAACGACTGAAATATACTTTGAACTATAATCTTAAAAGAGAAGTTTTATAAAATGACATATGTATGTTATTTAACGCCAGATTGTTACAAAGGTGTTTTGAATGTTTGCCGGAAATATAACTTTAAGGAGGGTATTTTTATCATATGTGGTGGATGTGTTATAAGGCAAAGAAATATTGGGAACAGTTCCAGATTTTAATTCAGAAGATCCTTAAAATGGACTTATAATGAAAACCAGAAATTTTTCTTTAGGACTATTGGATAAAGAGATGGGGAAAAAAATGAACTTTGTGATTATGTATCTTGATGGCAGCAAGAATCCCACATGCTCAAAAATGGAAAGAGGCATTGACTCCCACAAAAAAGGAATGGACTGAAAAGATTGTGGAACTGGCAGAGATGGCAAAGTTAATTACATTTATTAGAGAAAAGAACGTAAATAGTTTTGTTTCCACTTGGAAATCACTTTCAGACTCTTGAAAGAGAAAAAAAAATGAAAAGTTGATTTTGGATTTTGATTAAGTAGATCGTGATTATATAAACGGTAGTTATTTACTGTTTTAGAAAAGTAAAAAGTTAGTATTATGACTGTATTATGTATCTTATAGCACCAAAAGATGTTGTAAATCGTTGCTTTTTGTTTCTTCCTTTTCTTTTTCTTTCCTCATTTTATCCCCTTTCCTTTCCTCTCTTTTCTCATTGTTTTTATTTCTATTTCTATTTTATATTACAAATTTTTTTTTTTAATAAAAAATGAAGTAAAGGAACGCCACGTGACAAGACAAAATATTCAGAGACTGAAACCTCGGTCCAGGATACATAGAGAGGAATGCAGGCACCCAACTCTCGTACATTAAAAGGCCATTATTTCCACAGCAAGAAGATAGTCACACAAGTCAGACTGCAGCAAACTTGTCCTGAAAGGAATAGGGGGAAAATGTATAAATGGCATTACAAATATTTCAGATGCCTGGAAAAAGGTACCAAGACAAAAAAGCAATCGCTCTCACAGCAGATGAAATAGTAAAAAGCCCCTGTAAATATAGGTTTACCAGATGTGGGCTGCAAAAATCCAGATGATTACCAGAATACAGCAAAATGTTACAAGCTTTTGTATCTTTGCCACCATCTAATGGTGGTTCAGATTTTGCAGCTGATATATAGCAGCTGTTCCTAAAGAAAAGGGAATTAATTCTAAAAGGGAATGCACTAAATGGCAGCAAAGTCTGGCTAAGGTATTTTAAAAATCTTAAAGTAAAGGCTGACTGTCTTTTCTTGTGAGAAAAGGCCTGAAATGAAATGCAAGTTTGCAAAATTTGCAAACTCTAAGGAGCTTCTCTTGCTATTTTGCTCACCCTCTTCTATCTTATAGCAGGACACATTCTAGCTTTGTCTTACTAGCAAGTATGAGAAGAATATAAAAAATGGTTTGAGTACAAAATGAAAAGGCCAGATAGCTATACCCAGGTTTTCATTCCTGGCTTAAAGAAGTGGTTATCTATAATGATCACTCAACTTTGACATGCCACAATTCTTATCAACTCATGGCAAAGGAATTTCATAATAAAATTTGCAGGCATTGGCTGGATTCACACATTGTGCTAAATCATGTGTGTTTATAAATATTTATTAAATGAGACACAACATTCTAAGCCGTGAACAATGATATACAACTAAGTTTATGACCTAGTATAATGTGTGAAACAAGTCAGAGACAACTGTTCCTCTTACAGGACGCCATCTTTATTTTAATACCACTTTTCAGCAACTCTGCAAATATGTTTTGTCCAATAAAAGATTAATAACGGAACTCATAAATGATTCATACACAAAACAAGCATGTGACCTCAGTCTCAAAATGATCTTTAGTTGACCACTTTGCACCTGGAGGTCCTTGGTCAGTGATGGCGAACCTTTTAGAGACCGAGTGCCCAAACTGCAACCCAAAACCCACTTATGCATCGTCGGGCGCCGGGTGGGTGTGGCCCATTGGGTGGGCGTGGCTGCAGTGGTAACAGCAGACTGGGTGGGACTAAAAAGTTCAATCAATCAATTCCAACTTTGCAAGATCTTTTTTTTCTTGCGAGAAGTTGAACTTGACTGATTGATTGAACCTTTTTTTTTTTTTGTACATGGTGGCCAAGGCCTAAAGCGAAAAGGTTTTATAAAACCCAGCTGAAGGCCTAGGACTGGGGCGACGTCACGCGTGCCTACAGAGAGGGCTCTGAGTGCCGCCTCTGGCACCTGTGCCATAGGTTCGCCACCACTGTCCTTGGTTATCTCATTCCTTTCAATCCCTTGAAGAAACAGTGTTACCTCATTCTGAACACTGAACAGAGATAATATGTGCATTTTCTGGAACAGATGTGGAAGGTCAGTGCAGGAACTAAATGAAACACAAATTATGCAAAAAATACCCTACATTTTTATTTTTTTAAAAAAACTTCAGGAAATGGTAAGCATGTCCACAAACAAATTTTGGGGGTTTGGAAGCATCAACAAAGACATCTGTAAATGCTCCTCTTATTGAAATGGCTGCAGAACTAATTCCTTGCTGTAAGAACTTTAAAAAAGAAACAAAAGAGAAACTCAATGCCCTTTATCCTGACAGAACCTTCATTCTCACTTCCTCCCAAACAAACACAATGTTCTGTTTAATAAGGAAGGGTAGTACTAAATGCATCTCATACTCTAATAGAATGTACAAGTTAGAGACCTGAAGGTTACAGCCAAATCCAGGAATAATGCAGGAAAATGAACTGCCACTGGATCAGAGTGTCTTCGTTTATGCTTTCCTTTTCATTTCTAATGCTTCTTTCACCAATGTTATCCAGCAAGATAAAGTCAAAAGTGATGGTCTAGGGAATTAATGAGGACAGCAAACTCAGTTTCCAAAGGCAAACCACAACTGCATCTTCCACAGCACTTCTAATTTGACTGTCCACCAAAGAATACAAGTAACAAGCTGGCTTCCTGTACCTTGCCTTTGTTGAGGTGTAGTAACACTGAAGAATTCGGTTTCAAGTGATCATGATCATTGCCCATTTCTCCATTTCCCCTTCAGAACAATATGGATCTTCTTGCAACTCCCATGGGCCAAAGCAATTCTCAGTGGTCCAAATACAAGCTTGCAAACCCACAAGACAAGAGTGGATGGAACATGCCTCTGAAGATCCTACAGTTCATCTGTGCTGTGTGAAAGTGAAGCCACTTTCTGACCATCATCTTCTTTTTCAGTCTGATCAGGTGTCTCTAATGTGCTTGGTTGCATATTTCCTGTTTCTTGATCAGCCTTTGGGCGTTTCTTATTCTTTGAAGGCTTTTTTGCCTTGCCTTCCTTTTTCTTGATCTTCTGCCCCGCATTTGCCATGTCTCCTTTCTTCCCAGTCCACATTTCTTCCAGACAGCCTAGAAAAAGGAGGACAGGAACAGATCCCAAGATATCATCAAACTGCCACTTCCCTCTATCTTGACTTACACATCACTATTTTTCTTCCTCTTTCAACCTTCACAAGCTGCAATTTCCATTCGGTTTAAATTACTAGTTTCTGAAACCAGAGACTGGTAAGTTGATTCCAGGTTAATATTTCACAGGACTATTGTGACATTTAGGAAAGACTGGACCTGCAAAGGCTGTCAATTCTGGTAAACAAGTCAAAGGTCAATACTAAACACAGCAAAACTTTGCATTATCTACAACTGAAATTATTGTATTAACATTACACCCTAAGTCACCTCTTCCTTTTAATTAATGAAATCTACCTAAGAATAAAATTGGCTTTCAATTCTTTCTCAGGCATGAAGCAAAAAAAATTTTAAAGTGAGAATTGTTATCTTTAAATTATTTACTCTTTTACCTTAGCAACAAAAATGGGAAGCAGCTCTCAACAACAGTCTTGGCTTTTAAGAGTAATAATTCTTTTTAATATGTTTTCATAAAGGGGTGAGAAAAGAAATTCATCTATTTATTCTAATTAATCTGATTCACAAACACTAGGACTCTAGTGGCCAGCCAAATCTTGGAGCCATTCTAATGTGCCAAAGAGTTGGATTCGCACCCTGAGATAAGTCATGGTTTATTTTAATTATTGTGTATTAATTTTAAAAATGGATTAATTCTTAAAATAATTTAAAAAAACTAAAACTAAATAAGCTACGCTTTCTCTCATGTAGTGTGAGCAACCAGGCATCATGATGCTCTTCATAAAGTGTAGTGAAGGGAAGAAGCCCATCTCTTTAACTATGTCACTTCTTGTTTCCTAACCAGAACACTTCCATTAAGTTAAAAAAACGAGGCTCCCATGGTATGCCTAGGCAAGCTTGGCTACCTTATTATTTTATGCTGAACTCAGCATAATTTTTTGTGAGAAAATATTTTGTTATCAATTTGGTTATCTTTTCTGAAAGAAAGAGAGAGCTATCCAGGGAATCCAATGTGTAACTTAAAAGTCACACAGAATCAA